ATCCTGGAAGATGCTGAAACTTTCATCTTAATTGTAGGTGACACGTTGTTCCTCAGTATTCTGCACTGATATAATCAAAAGCAGTAACGTACTGCGAAAAAAAGCACTAGACTAGCGGCCAGGAAATCTGGATTCTAACCCAGTTTAGTGAACTTGCTCTGCAGTCCTAAGGTGAATCACTTCCCATCTTTGGATCTCAGTTTCCTCATCTATAAAAGAAGGATGTTGGACCAGATGATTTATTAAACCGTTCTGTGAACTTTATGATTTTATGAATTACAGGCAGGAAGTTAAAAATGTTTACAACTCATAGCCACTAACAGCCTTCCTCATATATTCCCACAGTCCTGTCACAGATGTTTAGTGACCTTACGAAAAGCAGGAGGCATTGGATATACCTTCCTAGAAAAATATAATTTCAAAAGTCTCTCAAATTTTCCTGGTCTTCACTACAGGACTGTATTTACTACAATTTTTTTGAAGCCTCTAGTGTTTTAACTGGAAAATACCTACCTAAACCATGAAATCTGAATACACATTACAAATTGCAAGATTCATTACAAAAGGATCCTTCTTATGAAACGGTTCACTTAGAGGTTCCTTCTTCCATAACTCTTAGTATTTATATTTATGGTTTTCTACAAACATTTTTCCTACACTTTTTTTATATGTAAGAAAAATAAAGGTTTCCTTATCTTGCCACAAAATAACTTGATAACTTCTATTCCAGAGAGAATTTCTAATCTCTTCTACTACGGTTTTTAAGATAATCCTTACTACTATCTTATTCTGTTTTACATTCTAGTTAATTCATTATGCTTGTGCAAAGTTAAGAAGAAAGCTGTAGTAATGAGAAGGAACTATCTAGAGATGTCAATAATAATACTAATTTTAAAATATTTTAGTCTTGTAGTCTCATCCTCACTATATTCTCCGTGAGTACTGGTCCCATTTTATAAAATTGAAGGCAATTTGCAGAGTGATCTTCCTGACTCCCAGGCTCAGATTAAGCTGATAAAGCCTTTTAAAATTTAGATAGATATGTCTTTTTCCCCAATTTCACTGAGGTATTATTGCCATACAATAAACCGCTCATGATAAAAGTGTACAATTTGAGAAGTTTTGACATAAGGATACACCTGTGAAACCTTCACTATAATCAAGAAAATGAACATATCCATCACCCCAAAAGGTTTCCTCCTGCCCCTTTGTGATACCACCTTCCCAACCATCTCCACCCACCCTGTTTCACGCCCCCACATCCCCAAGCAACCACTGATCTGCTTTTCGTCATTATAGCTTTTCTAGAATTTTATATCATGGAATTACACAGTATTATTCTTTTTTGGTCTGGCTTCTTTCACTCAGAATAATTATGTTGAGATCCATTAATGTCGTTGAGTATACCAATCATTCATTCCTTCTTATTGCTGAGTAGTATTCCATTGTGTGGATACACCACAATTTGTTGTCCATTCAACTGTTAATGGACATTTGGGTTGTTTCCAGTTTGGGCCTATTACAAATAATGCTGCCATGAATATTCATGTACAAGTCTTCGTGGGTAAATATCTAGGAGTGGAATGGCTGGATCATATGGTAGGTGTATGTTTAGCTTTTTAAGAAATGGCCAAACTGACTTCCAAAATAATTGTATCATTTTACATTCCCCACATGCAGTATATGAGAATTCTAGTTGTTTCACATCCTTGCCAATGCTTTGTATGATTAGTCTTTTTAATTTTAGCCATTCTAGTGACTAGGCAATGGAGTGATATCTCATTGTACTTCTAACTTGCATTTCCTTAATGACTAATGATGTTGAGCGTCTTTTCACGTGCTTATTTTTTCATCTATATATCTTCTTTGGTGAAGTCTCTGTTTAAATATTTTGCCCATTTTTAAAATTAGGTTCTTTGTCTCCTTACTGAGTTGTAAGAGTTCTTTATGTATTCTAGTTAGAAGTCCTTTGTCAAATATATGTTTTGCAAATATGTTCTCCTGGTCTATGGCTTGCCTTTTCATTTTCTTAAGTGTGTTTTGAAAAACAGAAGTTTTAATTTTGATGAAGTAAAATCTATCAATTTTTCTTCCTTTTACTGTTTGTGCTTTTTGTGCCATGTTTAAGAAATCTTTTCCAAATTCAAGGTCACTTAGATTTTTCTCCTATGTTCTCTTCTATAAGTTTTATAATTTTAGCTCTTCAATTTAGATTTATGATCAATTTTTAGTTAATTTTCGTGTATAGTATGAGGAGAGGATCAAGATTCTTTTTATTTTTTGGCATATACTATCCAATTCTTCCAGCATTGTTTGTTGAAAAGCTTATCCTTGACCCATTGAATTCCCTTGGCATATCTGTTGAAAATCAATTGACCATATATGGTAGGTCTATCTCTTGGCTCTCTATTCTGTTACATTGCTCTATTTGTCTATCTTTACACTGATACTGTCACCGATTAACTGCTCTGAGTAACTCAACAGAGGTTTCAAAAGCACTTAACTGTTTCTCAAATTTTTTTTTCAGTTATGTTAAGAGATACAATCACCAACTGCCCTGAACCAATCCAGACCCCACAGCAAGAGCAATGCTTGAGCAGATGGGCTGAGAAGCGTCCAAAAGTTACCTTTGCTTCATTTTAATGTTAAGATCTCCACTCCTGGAGGAGCTTAAGCATTACTAGCCTAACATGTGATGTATGTAAAAGCATGTTTTCAAACACGCCTGTGTGAGCTCATACCTACCTCTACATGTAATGAGAAAACTTCCCTTTTGAATATTCATTCCCCATCTGAAATAAAAGGCACCTGTTTTCCCTTGCTCAGGGAGCCACAGCTTTGGAAGTGATTCCCTGTGGTCTCCTCATTTGCTGCAAATAAATTGTATTTTGTGTGACAACAACTTCTGATGAAGGCTTTGATTTCAACTCACCAAGAAACGAACTCACTTTGGTTCAGTAACAATACCACACTCTGTTGATTACTGTAGCTCTTATAATGTCTTGAAATCAGGTGGTATAAGTCCCTCAACTTTGTTTTTCTTGATCAAAGTTTTGGCTACCCTAGGTCCTTTGCACTTCCATATAAATTTTAGAATCAGCTTGATAATTTCCACAGAAAGAATCTGCTATGATTCTTATTGGACTTGCCTTAAATCTATAGATCAATTCAGAGATAAATAACGTCTTAAAAATATTGAATCTTCTGATCCATTAACATGGTACATGTCTGTATTTAGATCTTTAATTTCTCTCACAATGTTTTGTAGTACAGTTTATATGCCTTTCACATCTTTGGTCAAATTTATCCCTAAGTATTTCTTTTTTTTTTTTTTTTTTGCTGCTAAATAGTACTTTTAAAATTTCAGTGTCTAATTGTTCATTTATAGTATATAGAAATACAACTGATTTTTGTACATTGACTTTGTATCCTGCAACTTTGCTAAACTCATTTATTAGTTCTAGTAGCTTTTTTTGTAGTATTCCATAGCATTTTTGTCTGCAAATACAGTGGTACTTCTTCTTTTCCAATCTGGATGCCTTTTATTTCTTTGTCTTGTTTTGTTGCACCGACTCTCCAATACTAGTATTTAACTGAAAGCAAGTTTTACAGAGAAATATTCCTGACTCCCAGACCCAGATTAGGCTCAACTATAGGACCCTGTTGAACTTCATTAGATATTTTTTTAATTTACTAAATCATTATTTATACTTCATTATTAGGCTCTTAGTTTTTCCAGGGTTCAAATATTCATTAAATGTTCAAACATTGAACAACTATTGCATGTCAGGCTCCGTGCTGGTTGTCAGGGAGACAATCTCAGTACACTCTCCATACCGTTTAAAAAAAAAAGAAGTACACAGACAGACATGGACCTGGCCCTGATGAAGTCTTACCATCTTACTGAGGCAGTTTAGAACCAGAGTTAAAAGCACAGGCTCCGGGTTCAGTCAGATTGGGTTTGAATCTGGCTCTGCTCCTTAGTGGTTGGTTGACCTTGGAAAACTTAATTGACCTTCCTAAATCTGTAAAATGAGAGTATTAATAACACCTACCTCATAGGATTCCTGTGAGGGTTACATTTATTAATACCTTTAAAGTACTTAGAACAGGGCCTGCATAGTAAATAGTCAATAAGTACTATCTATTGTTAGAGGGCAGGTTTAATTCTTCACAAGGTAAATCTACAAATGACTGAGGAAGGACGGGTATGGAAACATTAACAAGCATAAGAAGTAGTTTACTTTAGCCGCTAAGCATAGAGGCAATAGTGTCAACTATACCTGAGTTTAAACCCTTGCTCTGCTGTTTACTGGCTGTACAACTTTGAGCAACCTACTTAAGAGCAACGCCTGCCTTGTATCGTATTTGGCATACAACAGATGCTTAATGGATAGCAATTATTGACCATGGATGTTCTGAAAAGCCATCATATCGCCAACACGTGTTCATAATAATAATGTCTGCCATTTATTAGGGCTCACCATTCCGGACCCTGTGCTAGTAACTTTCCATATATTCTCTCATGCTTCGAATCTAGCTTGGTGAGCATAATCGGCCCCATTGCATGGTAAAGAAACGAGATGATCTCTCTGTAGCTACGAACAGTGGGAGGTCGGATGCCTAATAAGTGGTGGCTTGGAATTCAGCCCTTGACCAAACCGGGGCTGGCACTGTGGCCTTTGTCACCAGCTGGGCCCTGGAGAGCCCGCTCGGGAGATGGCACCAGGAGAGGCGGCAGTCGGCCAGGCCGTAACACCCCATGCGGCTCCGGCCTCGAGGAGCTGCCAGGCGAGGCCTCTCCCGCCGCCACTTGGGCGCAGCCCCCTCCTTGGCCTTGGCCGCTACCATTCCCTCTCAGATGGCCTCGGGGTTCGGCTCGAAGGTCCTCAGGAGAAGGGAAGCCAGTGAGGTGAGCCGGGGCAGAGCTCTGGGGAGGAAGGTTAGGCACTGTCTCCAGGCAACGCGCTGGGGGCAGGGCCTCTGCGTCACTGACGTGCGACCCGGTCGCCGCCCGAGGCGCCGTCGGCGCTCCGGGTCTGAGCTGCGGGCTGGGGCGGCGCCGCTGCCGCCGGAAGCGCGATGCCTTGAACTTGGGTGAGCCCCGCAGGCTGTCTGTCCGCCGTTCCTCTTCCCAGCTGCTCCACGACCTCGGGCTGGAGTGGAATCACCGCCAGGCCTCGACTGCCGGGCCGGCTTCAGTGGGGAGACAGGCCCGGCCCGCCGCCCTTTCTAGGCCTCGGCTGGGGGAGCGGGGCTGGCTTGGGAGGCGTTTCCGTGGATGCGCCGTCCCCCACCCGGCCCAGCGGCTGGGGGTGGAGGTGGCTGGTCCTGTTTGGCGGGTGGTTCTGGGGGCCGAGGAGAGGGTTTTCCCTCCTCCAGCCCGGAACCACTTTTGAATCTCGCCGCCGGCCGGCGAGCGTAGCTGTTGGTTACAGTGCAGGTGCGCTTGAGGAGGGGCCGAGGCGGCGAGGAAGAGCCCTGCGAGGGTGGCCGGAGGGTGGCCGGTGTCTTTAGGAGACGGCCCGTGCGCCCCCGCCGCACCGGACCCTCCAGATTAAAAACCCTTGCTTGGGGCGACAGCTCAGAAAAGGCCAAGTCGATCTTCTTAGCCGGCCCTGCGTTTCTAAATTAGATTAGGCTGCTCCCCTTCCTGAAGGCTTTGCCTTGTCGAACCAGCTACCCCGAGACCCGGCTGCGACAGAGCGTTTCCTTGCTAATCATGGTAGTAATTATTCCTGGAAAGGAAGCCTTCTGTATTAGCTTTTGAAATGACTTCTGTTATTTGTGTCGTGTTACAAAATGTGGATTTAGTAGTAGTATTCAGATTTATCCCCAGCCCCTTTATTAAATTGCAGTGTACGTCCATATTCTGACCCTGTCCTATTTCACAGTGGCAAGTGATTCCGTTCTTGCCTCTGGCGTATTTATAAAGCCGCCGTAACGCTTCCCATAGTTTATAATTCTTAGATCTTCTGCATAAAGTTATTCTTTTCCGCTCCCCTTCGCCCACTCTTCTTGCTATAAAATGAACTCCAGCCGTTCAGAATTTCATCTGGGGCAAGAAGTGCTGCGAACCAGTGATCCTAAATTAGTCACCTCTGTTGAAGTCACCGCTCTAAGAAGTGATGCTTTCTGAGTTCAGAACTCAAAAATAATATGGATTTTTCTCCAGTTTCTAAATATTTTCCTCCAGAATATGATGGTATGTTTCCAAAATGTGTTCTTTGTCATTTGTGTAAGCGAACTTTATATTTGATGTTTGTAGCTGATCTTTCTTAGTTCACGTCTAAACACTTAACAGGCTTCCCCCTCTCTTCCCAAAAAGGTAAGGAAGGTCCAGAGAGAATTCTTGTAAGCCTAGTTAGGGTATTTTTCCAAATATGAAATGTATTTAGTGAACACACTGGTGCTATCAGAAATGCATATTCTTAATCTTAATTCTTATCCTTTTGTAGTTTTTCTTTCTATAAAATTTTTTTCTGATTAAGATCTTTGAGCCCAGAACAGGCATTCCAGATTCTGTAGTGACTCTGACTGGTCTGATTGTTTCATGTGTATCTGTTATAACTGCTGTTAATTTCTTGTCTTGCAGAACAGCTGATAATCTGTTTACAAATCTAGAGTTTGAATAAGCAATAAGAAATTAAATAGTATCCTTAGAGACCTATTTTTTAGTACTTAATTTTTATCACTGATGTTAAAGCCGACAATGAAAATAGTTGATGATTATTTCAATTATAAATATCTTTGTGTAAGTAAAGAATTTGATACAAAATTTCATGGAGAACAGGTTTCAGAGAGGTTTTCTAAATACTACAGAACTTGTGAGCTAGTCAACTTGTTCCACTTTCAGGCTTATCAACTTTGCTTTAATCCTTTTATGAATGAATATGGTTTAAATTTTCATAGAGTTTTTTTTTTTTTTTGGCCAATTACCCATGATGTAATTTTTATATCTTTATAAGAATATTTGAACTACAGCAATTCATTTGTTAGAAAAAGAAGTAATCAAGTGTATGTTACCACCCACTAGTGACATTTTTGGAATCCTTGATATTCTTGTGAGTTTCAAAGTAACAATTGTTCTTTATTTAGAAAATCCTTCAAATATTTCTTGAAAGCACATTATTATCCCTTCTAGAAAGGACTGAATTATAGGTGACACAGTAGTATGAGAGCTGCTAGTTCTTTGAGAAATCTTGACCAGAGATTTGTCTTTTGCTGAATTCTATGCCATTGGTTTGAAAATTACATTCCTATACAATACTACTGTTCCATAATCTAGAAGGAAGTATTTTGCTAATATCAAGTAATGAATATCTCTCAGTTTACATAAACATTAATTAATTAATTAATTTTTTTGTGAGGAAGATCAGCCCTGTGCTAACATCTGTCAATCCTCCTCTTTTTTTTTGCTGAGGAAGACTGGCCCTGGGCTAACCTCTGTGCCCATCTTCCTCCACTTTATATGGGACACCACCACCGCATGGCTTGCCAAGCGGTACGTTAGTGCGCGCTCGGGATCCGAACCGGTGAACCCCGGGCCGCTGCAGTGGAGTGCGCACACTTAACTGCTTGCGCCACCGGGTGGGCCCCCATAAACATTAATTTAATGATAAAATTTTACAATTTTGTATTTTTTTCTTTCATGTATTTTTTTAACTTCAGCTTCTCTCCAAGTTAGTACTGGTAAGATGACTGAACAAGTTAACAAGAGGCAAAAGAATACTAAATGAATAATAAGAAAACAAAAACTGTCAGTATATACTATATCCATTCATAAACATTTATTGTATGCTTATGTATCTGCCAAAAGAGAGAGCACAGCTACTATCCTCAAAAAGCTCACGGAGGGGGATGGTCAAGTGACCTAACTCCTAATATGTGCCATGATAGAAGAATGTGCAGAGTCACCAAAGAGGGACACTGAAAAAGCTGTGCTGAGTGACTAGACGGTGGCCTCAATAGATTGTTTTTGTGAACATGCACCGGTTGTGCATGTCCACAACCACCGGTTGTGGTTTTATGTTGCATGTAGATCATAGAGTCATATTTTTATGCTAGTGATGGATGTTAATATTTATCATTATTTTATGGTATTCAAAATGAACTGTAAATTCCGGGCCATCTGCACTGAACCAGGTTAAGAACCACTGTTCCAGGCCCTCTCAGTAGTCTCTAGATAGTGTTACCTTGTAATCCGAGGAGTTAGTGATCAGGTTTCCCAGATACCAAGTGCAATTGTAGGATAACAAGTTAATATGCTGCCTCAAATGATAAACCTTACCATTCAGAGTTAGCGCACCAGATCAAATCAATGCAGAAACAAAAGGGACCATTTTCTAACTCAATAAATAAGCAACTAAGGCTTCTTTTTAAATAGCTGTTTGGTGAGCACATGGATTAAATTATCATTACATGTTTTACTCTAAATATTAAGACCATATATTTCAAAAGTTTAATTTTTTCTTTGTTAAGTAATGTAAGTGTAATTTAACGTTTTCATTCTGGTTGATTAGCATCTCTTATTGCATTTTGATTGGATTGGTACAGGAAAACTAGAGGAGATTTAAGTTTCACTTTGGGAGTAAAAAATTTTAGAGGTTACCTACTCCGCTTCTCACCCGAGCAAAAATCTTCTCTAAAACACTCATTAGATGAACTTCTGATCTTTATTAAACACCTCCACACTTCCAATGAAAGCAAGCTCACATATATTACAAGACAGCCCTTAACACTTCTGGATAATTATGGATGATAGGAAATTCTTACATTGACCTGAAATCTGCCTTATTTAAACTTATTGGCTATTCGGTTCTCTGAACTACATAAAATAAATCTTACTTCCTCTTCCACATGAAAACTCTTCAGATGTTTGAACAAACCTATCATATTGCTTCACATGGTTACTAAACTATGATTATCTAGAATAAATTGCTTCGTTTCCTTTTCGAGATCCTTAACATCTTGTATGCTCTCCCAAATATGTTCAAATGATGAATGCCCTTTAAAAGTGCAACTGCTTAGAGCTGATTACAGAACTTCAGTGGGGTGGAACCATTACAGAGTACAATGGGACTGGGCTCTCACTCTGGACGTCTGCTTCTAGCAAGAGTTTAGGATTATTTTAGCATCTTTCTTGTTCCTGTTTACTATTGACTTACTTTGACTGAAACCCTCAGACCTTTTATAGTTGGACTGGTTTTAAGCCCATCTTACCTGTGTGTTTTTTGTGCAGTTGGCTTTTCAAAACATATTCAGGATTTAACTCTTAAGTTGTATTTGATATAATTTATTCTGTTTCAGAAAATCAGTATCTATTTCAGTCTTGATTCTGATATTCAGTGGACATTATTCATTCATTTCAATTTTAGTCATCCACAGACTGGGCAGGCATGGAGTCTTGTCTTCGAGTCATCAGTAAAAATGGTAAACAGTCCATCTCTTGGTGCCAGTCTTTCTCTCCCTCTGCTGCTCTGCGTTAGTCACTCTGGCCTTTTTTTATTACCTCAAAGGCACCATGCTCCTTCCAATGTTAGGCACTTTCTATTACCTCTGCCTGGAATGTCCTCCCTTCACCATGCCTCTACCCCTCTTCTCTGGCTGACTGATCATCTCAAATCAAATGTTTGCTTAAGGACTTCTTCCCTGATACAAGACTAGGTCAAGTCCTCTTATAGGCTTTTGTAGCACCTTGTTTGGCTTGCTTGTTTGGCTTAGTGCTTCTCATTTTGTAATTATATGTTTAGTGGTGTGATTGTTGTCTTTTCCCCACTGTGTCAGATGCCTCCGTGGCGTCAAGAACCATGTTTCTTTCACTCACCGTTGTATCCCCAGAACATATCACAGCACCAGGCACATGGTATTTGTTGAGTTTAATTTTTAAAAGACCTATAATAACGGGGCCAGCCCTGTGGCGTGGCGGTTAGGTGCTCGCGTTCCGCTGCTGGCGGCCCGAGTTCGGATCCCGGGTGCGCACCGATGCACCGCTTGTCAGGCCGTGCTGTGGCAGTGTCCCATATAAAGTGGAGGAAGATGGGCACAGATGTTAGCCCAGGGCCGGTCTTCCTCAGCAAAAAGAGGAGGATTGGCATGGATGTTAGCTCAGGGCTGATCTTCCTCACAAAAACTAAAAATAAAAAAAATACAAGACCATGTAACACAAAGGTTCCCTAACACCAGTCTATAACCATTGGCTTCTGATGATGTTTTCACATGTTTGGATTAGAACAAAAATAATAAGGACAATAGTGTAGGTGTACATATGTAGTATTTGTCAGTGTGAAGTTAATGCCTTTTGGGAAGGACTTTTATTCTAATACTCTATCCTTCTACTTTTCAGGTAATAAATTCTTCTTTTTAAAATTTTTATTGTTTGGGGATTTTTTGCTTATTTCTGGAAACTATCTTTACTTAGAATAAAAATAAATGTGCAACACCATGATGCTTTGAGATTTTACTAGTCTGTAAAATCCAGAAATCACTAATGTTGAATACCCTAGAGGCCACCTCTAAGCTAAGAACTTTGTTTCTCTTTGAATATAGTTGCTATGAATCCACTTGACTATATTTAAAATATATAGTTTTGCTTTCAGAGATTTTTTTTTAGTGGCCTGGATCTTCCTCAACAGCTTCCTTTCATTTATCTCTGTAATATGTTTATCGTTGCCAAGTAGGCTCAGATTCAAAACAGTAATTGTTGAGTTTTTCTTTTTTAGTACAATTATAGTTTTCCTATATTTTATGTGAGTAGAAGAATAAACCTCAAATACAGTACATTAAATTTTAATACCAAAATCAAATTTACATATTATGGTTACTGAGAACTCTTATTATATATGGTTTCATAAAGTTATATATTTTATAGAGTTATAACTTTATTTTTTTTTGATTAAATGATAAAGCAGGTTTCCTGGCAAAACTTTTTCTATAAAATTTTACTATTTCACCTGCTTTATATGATATGAGTGTTAATTTGGCTGAGATAAAATGATAGTCTTTGATGGGTAAATAAAATGGAATTTCTCAAGGGGGGGATCAGATTTTTTTTAAATTGTAATGCATTTTTCTTTTTCTAACTTTATTTTTAAAAAAAACAATTAGCGATGTGACTTTGTTACTTTAACCTTTCAGTGCTTGTTTCTTTAACTATCCTGTTTCTTCATCTGTAAAATGGTTATTATAGGGGAGTTAAATGACCGAAATTGAGAATATGTGTAACGTGCTTAGAAGATTGTGTTACATAATGGAAGTGGTCAACAAATGTTAGTTGCTTTTACTATTATTAGTAGTAGTGTTGGTATTAAATAGGGATTTTCATATTCAGTTATAGAATAAGTCAACATAAGTAAATACTAAAAATTTATATTAATTTCTATTTTAACCATATTCTCAATGCTTGATATTCTAAGTCATTATTTACCAAAGGAAAAAGCTATCTAGAATAAAAACATCCAACTCTTCTCTAGCCACGATACATAGAATTATATCTTTTAAGACTTTAGAGTAAGTGGTTATTAAATAAATGTTTTGTGATTAAATTTTTTTAAGTCAATTCAATAACTTATTGATCTGTATTAATAGTAGATTATTAAAGTAGTGATCCAGCCTTTTAACTAAAATATCACCTTCATATTTAGAAAATAAGTTACATAAATTTTAAGTTAACACCTGGAGAAGTTAAAAAGCAAAAGAGCTGTCTTTTTTTTTCTAAGCAGAAAATGTAAGGTGGTTAAATAATCTAACATTGTAATTTTCTTAGGTTTTTCAAACCAAAAGTCTGTTTAATTTATATATATTTTACAATTAAAAATGTTATACATTTATAAATGAAGTAATTCAACAACAAATTTCTTTTAGCTGGTGTAATTATGTAATGATTATATATCATAGTATATCATAGAGGTTAAAAATATGAGCACTAGAATCTGAAAAACGTGAGTTCAAAGTTCACTTCAACCACTTACCAACTGTTTAACTGTAGATAAGTCACTTAGCTCTATATCCTTATTTGTAAAATAGGAATATAATAATGTCTACCTCTTAGGGTTGTTGTAAGAAATAAATGAGATAATATATGGAAAGCCCTTAGTTTGGAGTCTGACTCATGGTAAGCAGTCAGGAAATGTTCTTAAGAAAATTACATAAGGTAAAGAAGCTTCCTATTAAATACAGTCACTTAAATGCCTTCGTGTGTGCGTGCATGCGCGCATCTGTGTAATGGTTTTTGACTTGGTGAAATTATAGAAGTTAGAAGCTCCACACCCTCCCAATAACGTAAGTGAATCCTGTTTTCTCATTTAGCTATGTAATCTTAAAAAATAGAAATATAAATCTTTACTTTAAAAGTATCATTGTTTAAATAAAGTCCACCTTAGGCTCATGTAAGTCTAATGAGCTCTCACTTAAAGGTATTCCTGGTTTTTCTCAATTTTCTTCAAGGGGTGGATATATTGCTGTTTTTATATTATATATAAAAGTAACTTTTATATATATTTGACAGAAACTACGTGAAACAACACTCTGGATTTCAAAAGACATCATTTCATCATGGGACAGCAATTTTCAGATCAAACGCAGTTGGTTCTTAACAAGTTACCAGAAAAAGTAGCAAAACATGTCACATTGGTCCGAGAAAGTGGCTCCTTGACTTATGAAGAATTTCTTGGGAGAGTAGCTGAACTTAATGACGTGTAAGTCTTGCTGTTTTTCATTTTATTTTTCCCCCGAAGTATGCCCCATATGTCATGACTGTCTAAGAGGTGACCAGAAGTTTTGATTGCTAAGACTTAGTGTTTTCAGCAGCAGTTAGGAAATAATTATAGAGTGCCTCCTGTAATTTCTATGTGGTTATTTAAAAATATGTAATAGGATCAAAAGAGACCGAAGGAACTTGAAATTGGATTTTGAACACAGGCGTATAAATTGACTCTTGTTTGAAAGCACTAAAGGGATGCATAACAGAAGAGAATATGCCAATTAGCCAATCTAGAGAAAGGCTCCTAGGATAGTCAAAGGGCACTCAGGTTTCTGTACATCAACCAGTTCATCTGGTTAGTAAAGAAATCAGTCTTCTGTATCTGTTCACTGAGCCATTATTTTGCCAGAGAAATACATATATAATAAGAATGCAATTGTCAGGGCTGCCTGATGGTGTAGCGGTTAAGTTCGCATGCTCTGCTTCAGCAACCCGGGATTCCGCCGATTCGGATCGTGGGCGTGGACCTACCACCGCTCATCAAGCCATGCTGTGGCGGTGTCCCACATACAGCGACTAGAAGGTTGTGCAACTATGACATACAACTATCTACTGGGGCTTTGGGGAGAAAAAGGAGGAAGATTGGCAACAGATGTTAGCTCAGGGCCAATCTTCCAAAAAACAAACAAAATAATAATTCATTTGTTGTCACTGAAGAATAAGATATTTTGTTTATTAATATTTTCTAATTAGCTAACATCTTTAAATCTCTACTTAACACTTGAATAGATTTCTAAGATGGAATATAAATTTCTCTGCCATCTTACAGAGCACACCTAATAAAACTTAGCCTTTTCTTTGTAAATTTATTCTTTATTATATCAGCTATAATACTGATCTGTATAGAAGCTATTAAAACATACAGGGCTCTTTGTCCCTGAATGACCCCAGATTGTTTGCTTTTAAAATACTGCTTTTTTGTTTGTGTGTTTTCTCCCCTAGTGACAGGTGAGCAGATGTCACTTCTTTCTATTGTCTTCCTCTAGCAGCACCCACATCTACCTCTCTTTGTATATAGAAGGTATATATACGCCTTCTATCTCCCTAGGGGTATAATTATAACTTATTGGCATTGTCTTTTAAATGAGATGTTCAAGGTTCTCTCTTTAGTCTATTCATTTTAGCTAACGTTCACTGAGCATGTAACATGTGCAACGCACTTTGCTGAGGGTTGGACCTTTTAACTGAGGCCTAAAATGATCCAAATGTGGCAGATCCAGCTCTCCCTGAGTCTGAAGTTCTTTCCACTATCCCAAATTACCTCTCCTTAAACCCAAAAAAGGCCAAACACCTTTTGGCCTAAAATCACCTAGCAATCTAGGACCACTTAGTATGTATCAACTTGTATTATAGTCACTGTTAATAGTTTAGGGTAAGATACTCCCCAAACTTTGTGGTGGCTGTATTAGATAAGAGACATATTTGGCCATCTGGAACACATTAGATAAAGAGAAGGAAATACAGTCTTTTTATGGACATGGCTCAAGTATACTGTTATTAGCCAGTCATGAAGAATAAAGAATGTCTTAAAAGTTAAAGTTATCTTAGACGATCATTTCTTCTAAGAATACTGGATTTTGTTCATTAAAAAAAACAAAACAAAACCCTGTATGGGTATATGGGTGGATCCTTTATGGATATATATATATATATTTATGCACAGAAAATGAACTAGAAGGATACCCACTGGGTCTCTGGGTAGTTGGCAGAAAAAGCGGGCAGTGAAGGGAGATTTTACATTTTACTGTAAATATTTGTATATTGTCATGGGTTTTTAGAATTCTAGTATTTTACTTTTTTCCTTTTCTTAGATTATCCAAATGGTAGTATTTGAAGCATTATTTCTGGGACCATATTCTTAAGGAATAAAATTGGATTGAGAATTTGATAGTATCACAAGACTGGAATGCTTTTTTATGTTTATCGTTTCAACTCTTATGAACAGTAATCAATGACATTTGCCATCCCTTAAGAGTCTTGGAACTTACAGACATAAACCTAGTCTATTCTATAAAATTTGCATTTTGGCCTAGAGCTGCTGGATAAAATGTGCTCTGTGAAAGCGTCCGCAAGCTAAGCTTACCGTGTAATACAGAAGTGAGGGTCAAGAATATCTTCCTTTTGTTTATTTAGAACAGGACACTTCTGGCTGGATTTGGTTCTTAAAATCAGTTCCCGTGGGTCAGGGTTGGGCATTTCACAAGTGCAGTGCTGTCTGAGAACTGTTTTATTTAAAGTTAAACCTATACAGAAGGAGCATGGTTTGATAACTAGAAAGCAGAACTGGAAACTGGCGCAGCTGAATGACTTTCGCTGGCTGACTTTCTTCCCTGGGGATGGTAGCATAATTTTCGATGGCCTCCATTTATTTAGCTGTAAGGCACTTAATTGAGCGTGATATCTCCACTGGTGCTTGGAGAGAAATGGAGTAATGATAAAAGGGAGCTGCAGTACGTAAATATGTCTTTGAACTGATTTAAATTGGCATTGATAGTATGATATTGAATTAGCCTCTAAAAGTATTATATTTTTTTTGTTAGAATCCTCTGGCCCTCTAAATTAAAATTATTCTGCTAGGTGAAGACAGTAAAGCTATATTTAAAGTGTCTCAAAATCATTTGCTTGATCCGGTCCCAAATTATCTATAAAACGAAAATTTTCCGAAGAGATGTGTTAGTATTACTGTTTAAATAAGGACTCAACCAAGAGCAAGATTTTTTTCACACTTTATATACATCTGAGGCAATAGTCAAAATTTGGATAAGTGAAACCAGCTATGCTTTTTCTTTAAAAACCTGATTCCTCGGGCATGTTTTTTTCTAGATGTCTTTGTTAGAAATGTAAAGACCATTGAGATATAGATATGACAAAAAGAGATTTATAAATATCATTCCACTATGCTGTTGACTTTAAAATCCTTGGAAATTAAGTTATATGTTTATAATCAAAACATTCTCTAGCCGTATGTTTTAAGAATGTAATTATTACAATCATTATTCTTGTTATTTGTCTTTGTGTGTCTTCTTCAGATTTCCTTCTCTGTTTTAAAGTGTTTCTCGAAACTGTTTTCGTAGCTCCATTATTTCATATGATGACTTTTCATAAAATTAACAAATATGTTTGTCTCTTTTCAGAACGGCTAAAGTAGCAGCTGGCCAGGAAAAACATCTTCTCTTTGAGGTACAACCTGGATCTGATTCTTCTGCCTTTTGGAAAGTGGTTGTACGGGTGGTCTGTACCAAGGTGAGAGTGACAGAGACTTCCAACTCTGAGCTTAAACTATTTTGGTGGTTAAAACTATGTTTAGTAGTGTAATATAGATCCCTTCTTGGCCTTTTGGCTAAGATCAAGTGTAGTATCTGTTCTTATCAGTTTAATAATATTCTATAGTAGAAATAAATGTTAATAATTTGGTTATTATCATTTATTTATAAAACTATGAAAAACATAGTTTTATTGCCTTCCAGGTTAGCTATTTGAATCTCACTGTTTGTATAATTGCCATATAGCAGAGATTTTAATAATCACAGAAGGTGGTAGTAAACTCTCATCCTTACCTTCCACCTCTCTTTTTGGATTTTAGCTGGCTGTGGAGTCTTAAGGTGACACCCTATCTAGAAATTAAAATAGTCTTAGGAGATCATTTCTTTTAAGAACACTAGGTTTCAGCGCCGGCCCAGTGGCACAAGCAGTTAAGTGTATGCGCTCCGCTGCAGCGGCCCGGAGTTCGCCGGTTCGGATCCCAGGCGCGCACCGATGCAATGATTGGCAAGCCATGGTGTGGCAGCATCCCATATAAAGTGGAGGAAGATGGGCATGGATGTTAGCACAGGGCCAGTCTTCCTCAGCAACAAAAAAAAAAGAGGAGGATTGGTGGATGTTAGCACAGGGCTGATCTTCCTCACCAAAAAAAAAAGAACACTAGGTTTCATTCGTTTAATAAGAATTTTAAAATCCATTAGAAAGTTTGGGGTTTTTTGTTTAGTTTTAGTAATTTTTAGTTATTGAATGGATTTTTCACCATCAGTGCACTGTGTCTCTTAGTTGATCTTTAAATTTTAAACAATTAAATATATCAACACTGCTAAAAAATATAAGGGCAGCTGTCATAGAATATTAGGAAGCCTCATCCACCAATGGGTAGGTTAGAATAGATGGTCCTTAACTTTTTTGAGGCCACAGACCTGGTAAAAATGCAGGAACGATTTTATTAGGCCTCCTCCTATCCCAGCCCCTGCTCTAAAACAAACAATAAAATCATCCATATTCAGGGGCCGGCCTGGTGGCGTAGTGGTTAAGTTTGAGCGCTCTGCTTTGGCAGCCTGGGGTTCCCGGGGGCAGATCCCAGGCGCTGACCTACGCACTGCTTATCAAGCCATGCTGTGGCAGGCATCCCACATATAAAGTAGAGGAAGGTGGGCACGGATATTAGCCCAGGGCCAATCTTCCTCAGCAAAAAGAGGAGGACTGGCAACAGATGTTAGCTCAGGGCTAATCTTCCTCACACATACACAAAAAAATCATCCATATGCATATAAACAATAAATTGAATATTCGTGAATGCTCTGAAGTCCACTCCTGATCAACCCTTAAGGAACTCCTGTGTAAGGAGAATTTTTCCCTTTGTGTCATGGACCTTGGGGGTTCCCCACTTAATATGCCACATTTCCCCCAGTGAGTTGATTACCACTACTATACTTTAAGTGTAGTAGGATTAATTATGGATAGTTGATCAAATTAGAAGTTCTAATCAATTTAAGTAATAAAAGTACTTTAGAGAGGATTAGAGGAACAAAGACAGATGTTAATTCCAGACTTGGCTAAGTGCCTGAAGTTGAATGGAGCCTGTTAACGTTTACAGTTGATTTAGAGGAAATACACAGTACACTTTAATACCATTCCGCTGGGTCCATTCACATTGAACATTTGCTTAGTCAATTTTTTTTTTAAGTCCAAATGTTAAAGAGAGATATAACAGCTGCCAGAGAACCATCATTCAAAAATTTTTTGCATTATTCATCACAGCGGTAGCTAATGCGGTACTAGTATGGGTAGCAGTGTAACTTTATATAAGGTATAATGTGTTAGAAATCATTGTAACAGAATACACATTGAAATACTGACAGCCTGATCCAAGATCGTGTTTTGTTATACTTCAATTTCTGGTCTCAAAACTTGTATGCCAACCGCATATTTTTCCCATTTTCTGTTTTTTTATTGTTGTTGTTATTGAGTTTATATTATATTTATATTAAATTCATTAGGGGTTTTTTACAATGTTATAAGTACGCATACTCCCAAAAGAACTCTGAGAATCCTCAGCTTTTGACTTTGCAAAGGAATAAAGTAAAGAAGAAATGAAGAATTGGCCTAAAAATGTAAAATCCATTCAAATGGGCTCAGTATCTCCAATACTGCATCATCTGACAGCTGTGAGTTTATATTGCACATAATCTTTCAGAACTATTTGGAAATCAACCTCAAATTTATAAGAACTCTAGTGACAAGGTCATTTCTGAAAAAAATGCATTCTTTCTTCTTTTCTTGCCCTCTCCTCCACAGTAGCCAGCCATCTGATCTTGTCAAGATAAAATCTTGTCAATTTTACCTCTTACCAGGTCTCACTTCCAGTTTATTCATAAGACAAATTCCATGCCCTCTAGAAGACTTTAACTATAGCTCTGGCCCCTCTTTCTTCGCATCTGGATTATCTTAGGTTCTGTGTTAATCTCCACACCTCCAGACTCTTCTTTTTTCTTTTTTTTTTTTTTTTTGCTTGAGAAAGTTTCTACCTGAGCTAATATCTGTTGCCAGTCTTCCTCTTTTTGCTTGAGGAAGATTCACCCTGAGCTAACATCCGTGCCAGTCTTCCTCTATTTTGTATGTGGGTCGCTGCCACAGCATGGCCACCAACGACTGGTGTAGGTCCATGCCCGGGAACCAAACCTGGGTTGCTGAAGCGGAGCGTGCCAAACTTAACCACTAGGCCACAGGACCAGCGCCAGACTCTTCTATTTGTAATTAATGATGCTTTGAGATTAACCTTTCTCAAGCACAACTCATCAGATCACTTTCCTGCTTAAAATTCTTCAGCAATTCCTCATTGGCTACAAAATAGTCCCAACTTCTTAACCTGACAGTCAAGGCCTTCTACAATAGTTTTATTCACTACTATCCCCCTTTGAACGCTACAGTCTCTCACCAGGCTTAACTAATTTAAGACTCTATAGCTGTTACCTTTTCCACCTTGGTGCCTCTGCTCATTGAGTTCCCTCAACTAGAATGTCCATTCCTCTGTCATTTAAATTGCCATTAGCTACAAGTCACAGAAAACCCCTGTTCTGACAGTATAAACAAAAACATTATTTATATTCTCACTTTTCAAAAAACCTTGATATAAAGTAGCTCCTGGATTGGTTCATTCAAAGACCTAGCAGATCCCTCTTCCCAATCATTGGGTCAATATTAGCTCATGTCCCCTTCTTACACCTACACTGACAAAGGGTATGTGATTACCATGATTGGTTTAGATTAGACTCACCAGGATTGACTCCTGAGTCATTTCAGGTAGTGGTACACCAAAGCAAAATCAGGGCTCTGCTGACAATGAAAAGTAGGAATGGCATTTGGGTAATCAGCCAATGGTTTCTGCACTATTCTGATCTAACTAGATGTCTCTTTAAAGGTCTCCCACAAATACCATCTCATCCATAAAGTCTTCCCTAACAGAAATTCTCTTACCTCTTCTAAATTACAGCAGCACTATTCATACTTCATAATTAAATTCTATGTTAAGAATAAAATTATTTATTTAGGTTCTTAGCTCCCCTAGTAGATAGTAAGCTCCTGAGGGCAGGAACTCTGTCTATATTCATTCTTGTATCTCTTACAACCTGTAATGCTTTACACCTGGTAACAATTCAGTTGAATGAACCAAAAAAAATCTGTTGAAATACTCTCATTTTAAATGACTGGGATAGGTTGAAGCTTTCCTTGTTTATTGATACAGTATAGTATCTAAATTACATTCTCTCTCTGTCTTTATTTCATAAAGTACTCAGCTCACATCGAAGAGGCCAGTATAAATTGTAGAAAGCTGTGGGAATATGAATGTATCAGGTTTCTGATCCCTTAGTTTTCTGCTCCTCCTCCTTGCCAAGCACAGAATTAATGTTTAATTTTACAATTAGTCAAACTCCTTTTTGCCTCAGTATGTGTAACCATTACGTCTGTGTGTGATTAAACATCTTCCTTAAAATAAGATTCTAAATAGAAAAACAGAAGACATATTGAAGACATAGGCAATCAGATCTTTCATTTGTGTAATTGTTCATGATTTTAGTTTACTCTAAAGAAATGTTTTTATTTGCATTCCTTAGGTTCTTTTTGAAAGAATCTATTAGAAGTCAGTGTTTACAGTAGAAAAAAAGATTTGAAGGCCTTGGGGCTGGCCCGGTGGCATAGTGGTTAAGTTTGTGTGCTCTGCTTCAGCGGCCCTGGGTTCACGGGTTTGGATCCCAGGTGCAGACCTATGCACTGCTCATCAAGCCACGCTGCAGCAGCAGCCCATATATAAAGTGGAGGAAGACTGACACAGATATTAGCTCAGCGATGATCTTCCTCAAGTGAAAAGAGGAGGATTGGCAGTAGATGTTAGCTCAGGGCCAGTCTTCCTCACACACACAAAAAAAGAGTTGAGCAATATGAAAAACTGATAGTAGACTGAAATTTCATATTTCTTACTCTTAAGAACCAAAAAACAATGGTGCTGTAACCTTCTGTATTTACAATAAGACCTTATCTTGACTATCTACCATCTGTTATGATGATTATCCTCAATATTTAATACATTATAAAAAATAATCTAAATGATGTTTAAATGGAATATTTTATGGGAATAATGTTAGAAAAATTAATAGATTAATTAAAAATTATGAACTAAGGTGGCTATTAAGAAACCTCGTGAATTACATTATCTTCATTCGTCTTGTTACTTAGACCAAAACCTTGGAGTTGTCCTTGACTTCTCTTTTTCTTGTATCGCACAATCAATCCATGAGTAAATCCTGTCAGGTTTCTCATCAAAATATATTCGGAATCTGGCCAGTTCTCACCATCTCCACTACTACCACCGTAGTCCTAGCAACCGTCATCTCTCACCAGGATTGTTCCAGTAGCCTCCTAACTGGTCTCCCTGCTTCTGCCCTTGCCCCCGTTCTGTCTAGTTTAAGCACAACCACCAGGCTTTTCCACTCATAATCTGAAATGAAATCAGATCATATTACTCCTTGGCTGGAAACCCTCCAGTGACTTTCCAAGCCCTTGGAATAAAAGCCCAAGTCATTACTACGTTCAGCAAACTCCTGTACGTTCTGTCCCCACCTCACCCTCTGACATTATCTTCTACCACTCCTTTCTCTCTTGTTCTATTCCAACCGTCCTGGGCTCCTTGCTGGATTCATTGTGCTCCTTGCCAGGTACACTTCTGCCTAACAGTCTTTGCACTTCCTGTTCTCTCAGCCTGGAATGATCTTTCCCCCAAAGATCCATATGTCTCATTCCTGCACCTCTTCCCATTCTTAAATGTCACCTTCTCTGTGAGGCCTTCCCTACAGCCCTTCAGCATTTCCTATCCTCCGTTTAATCTTCTCCATAACGCTTATTTCCGTCTTACCTAGTCTGTATTTTATTTGTCTGTCTCTCCTAACTATAGTGTAGGATTTTTGTCTGTTTTATACACACTGTCACCAGTGCCTAGAGTGGTGCAACAGAGTATCTGTGACATCCACATAATAGATACTCAATAAATATTTGTTGCATGGATCCTATGATTATGATAGTTGTAGTTTGATAAACTTTGCTATTAAATACTAGGTTTCTATGAATTATTTCCTAATTTCTTCTGCACTGTGCAGTTCCAAAGGAGGACTGCCCCAGTTTCCTCAGCTCTGCAAGTCTGTTTTGTAAGCCTCTATAAATTCCTATCACTTTTAATTCTGTTTATTCTCTACCCCATGTACAGTCCTTTATTACAAGGAATATTACATATTTACATCTCCATATAGATCTTACCTTCCTGAAATTAAATCAGTTTTCTGATTAGAGATGATTGTACCATTTTCATAATATAGAATCTGATTCATACTTGATTCTCAGTTTTTCTCTCACTGCCTTCTCAAATAGTAAACAATAAATATTGGTTGTAATTATTTTTATTTTCATTCCAAATATTGAAATGTTGCTACAATAATGTTTTTTTAATATGTAACTTAACTACCTCACTTTCTCATATCCCCAGTTCCATCAATGCATTTCCAAACCTACTTCATTCACAATTTTAAGGCCTTCTATCTATATCTCTCCCTGCGCTCTTCATTTCTTTCTAAATGTTTTCTAATTTTGTTTGTTCTATTTACTTTGATATGAACTTAATAGATTTCATTGCTTCCTCTGTTCCCACAGTTTTCCATACCATCTCCTGTGCTGAAAGAAAGTCTTTCACATCTCTGATCTGTCGCTGATTACTTCAAGTTCTTCATCCAGTGATATTACACCCTCATCCTACTGGCTTTGGTCATTTCAAAAGAGATTATATGCCCCACTCCATGATTCCCAAAGTCTTATGAAAGCAATATTCTCTCTCCTTACCTATTATCCAACACTTGCCCCAAATATCTCCTCACACTAAGAATGTAAGCTAGAGTGGGGAGAGGTACAACCTCTAGGCCACTGGTTCCACTTCATAGTAAATGAGTTTTTTGCTAAAGCTCAAAATGGCCTTCTGGGAAAAATTCAACCACTTTTTATTAGGATTTACTTTAATGTAATTTTTTTTGCTTTAGTTTGGAAGTTTTGGTATAAAATAGAATTTAAGATGTTCAAGAAAGCAATCTGTTGTTTCAGTTATAGTAGAATGGCATGTGATTGTTAGATTCGAATAAATCCTTTCAGAAATTCTTTAATTAAAAAATTAAAATGAAACGAATTGTCGATACTGATCTCTAAAATTCATTTCTTAAGTCTGGGAAAGTTGCCTAACCTCGTCAACTCTAAACAGGATAATACCTAATCAACCCTACAGGGTTATTTTGAGTATCAGACGGGATAAATTTGTGTAAAAGTACTTTGAACCCTACAACTGTAGGGGACATGATCATATTCATTTGTTCAGACTCTTACTCTCTTGGTAGGTAATTTGCAAACCTTGATAACTTCTATTTCCTAGGATGTTTGACTAAATATTTGTTCCCCTTTTTTAGGAAAACTTGATCAGAGAAGTAATCAACTTTTTTTTTTCATTTTCTTTGTATTTTTAGATTAACAAAAGCAGTGGCATTGTGGAAGCATCACGAATCATGAATTTATACCAGTTTCTTCAGCTTTATAAAGACATCACAAGTCAAGCAGCAGGAGTATTGGCCCAGAGCTCCACCTCTGAAGACCTTGATGAAAACTTGTCATCGGTCACGTCTTGTCAGGCTAGTCTTTGGATGGGAAGGTAGACAATGCATAATTACCATTTTTCACTTATTTTCCAATATGCAAGCTGTTGAAATCTCATTAGTATATTTGCTGGTGCTCTTTGTGACATCTTAAATCCCATTACTTTTTGTCTCAGTTGATATTATATCCCAGATCAGTTTTTGGATTGTTCTGTGTTTCAGGAGATTGTTAGAGTGCCAAATTAAAGAAAAATTGAAGTGACTCACACCAGGTAATGTTTTCGTCAACCCGGTTTCCATGAATCCACTCTACATGCTTGCATTTAATGATAAAGGAGATAGATAGTGCCCCTTTTATAATAGATATTTAGGTTCTTAAACAATCAGAGCCCTTCAGGGAATTAGGTTCAAGAATCTGGCAAAACCATTCCAGTTTTTCTTAAAAGTATCTGACTAATCAGAGCATTAAAATGTTAAATATTGGCTCCAGGACTTGGCAGGCCATTCAGGAATGAACAAGTAGTTGGTGCACATATTGCATATACCGAGGTACCAGAAGGAAATGAAGTCAGCCAGAGTTTTCTGTAATGGTGCTTGTTTACTCAGGCCTAATATATTATTGTTCTATCTAAACTTTCTTTTCCTTTTCTATAATGCTTTTGGCATGTGAAAGCTCCCACCTGTTGCCATTTGACCATGACCATAATTTAAACTCATAAATGCCTCATTGGAAAAAGTCTTACGTGTGTCCAGACATGTCGACATCCTGTCTTGTTGTTGTACTGGGCAGACAGCAGAAATCTGTATTGACAGTGTCTTTTACCTTACAGTTAAGAATATGCTTAACAAGAATTTCTCTTTTATTGCTCCATTTACAGTTGCATTTTCTGGTCCATTCGTAGACAACTGGTTTCCAAATATTATGTTTTAGTAAAATTGTATTTTCCATTTATCATTTCCTTTTTATCTTTAAACAGATGATTTGGTTTTCCAGATTTGGGCTGTAAAAGTGTTACTGAAATGCCAAATGAGTTTTAGGACATTATAGGCAGTGTTTAGGCTTATCTTTTCTATATTTTGTAAAGTTAATCTTTCAAAGACAGGTGTCTGATTTTCTGCTTTTTTTCCTCTCCCTCTTCAGGGTGATGATTTGTTTTTGTTGTTGCTTTTTGCTGAGGAATATTTGCCCTGAACTAACATCTGTTGCCAATCTTCCTCTTTTTGCTGAGGAAGATTCACCCTGAGCTAACATCTGTGCCAATCTTCCTCTATTTTGTGTGTGGGTTGCCACCACAGTATGGCCGCCGCCGAGTGGTGTAGGTCCATGCCTGGGAACTGAACCCGGGCCACCAAAGTGGAGCGTGCCAAACTTAACCTCTAGGCTGCGGGGCCAGCCCCAGAAGATTTTTTTTTAAAGTATTTTGAAAGCTGAGAATAGTGTTTACCAGTATATTTAAGCTCTATGGTAGCAAATGAAAATAAAGTAAAATGGTTTTCTTCTTGCAGTCATCTTAATGAAGGAGGTAAGAGTATTATCCCTTTTCATGTGCCCTTGAGACTAGGAAACTCAATACCTGATTAGTAGGTTAGAGCTGCTTCTTGCCTTTGAGTTTTTTCGTTTTTAGTTACACCCTGATAGACTAGTTCATAGAAAAACAGACTTTTTAAGTTGAAGGGAATCTTAAGGGGTACTTATTTGGTTCAAACTTACATCTGATGCATATTTCTGTTAGTGGTTTATATTTATTTGGTACTTATAGGGTATTAGGCATTGTGGTAAATGCTTTACATGTATAAATGCATTAAATCCTCGCAGCAACCCCATGGGAATACAATTTTTGGCCCGTTTCAGATGAAGAAACTAGGGTTTGGACAAATAAGTGACCTGGTTAGAAATTGGCCTAGCTGAGACTCACATTCAGGCCTGTCCAGCAATACAGCCATGCTCCTAACCTCAGCATTATTACTCTCTGGTGCATAAAGCCTCTGTACTACACTGCTTCCTCAACTTTGATATTCAGTGGTTTGAGACTCTCAAGCTCCCAGGTGGTGTCACTGCTGCTGATCCACAAATAACACTTTGAGTAGTAAGACTCTACTTACCACATTTAGCCAAGTGGTAGTCCAACTTGTACTTGAATACCTGTACGGGACTCACTGCCTCAGAGAAGCAAGGCTTTTCATATGTAGATGCTCTCATCACTATAAAGTTTTCCCTTTTTTTTTAATATTCCTCGGAGTAGCCAAAATCCGGCTCTCTTAAGGCAACCTAACCCAGACTATAGAACCAAACTGCTTGTGTTCAAATCCTGGCTCTGCTCCTAACTGTATAAGTTTGGACAAGTTATTAAACTCTCTTTCCTCAGTTTCCTCATCTTTTAAAAGAGGGCGATAACAATAATATCTGCTTCATAGGACTGTTGAGAGAGTTAAGAGAGTTAATATATGTAAAATGCTTAGAACAGTGCCTGGCGCATAATAATGTGTCTGTAAGAGTTAACTATCATTATTATTAAACTATTACTGTATTCTACTTATTGCTTTCAGGACTGTGCCCTCTGGAATTCCACCAAACAAGTCTGTTCTCTCTTCTAGCCCTTCAAATATTTGAAAACAGTAATCAAATTCTCACTGAGCCTTTGTTTCTATGAATCTCTTCTACATCCCAGAGGCTTTCCTGGGTGATCCTTTATCTGTCAATATGTTTTTGAGAGTAGTGGGCGTAGAACTGAATGCTCCACTCTACAGGTGGTCTAACAAGGACAAACAGAGCAATACTCTTTCTCCTTCCTTCTTCTGATAATCGTGCTGCTAGAAAGGTAGCAAAAAATCAAGTGAACATTGTACAGCTTCTGCTGGCTGCTTCTGTGTCTCCTGGTCTTTAACCTCTATCCAGAATGCTGTTCTTCTTCTTAGCCCACTGCTCCTCACTTTTAAACTCTAACTTTCACAATTCTGTTACTCTTTATGGATTCAGTTATATTCTCTGCTACTGCCACCCAAGTCTACATCTTGGATGTAAATTGTAAGCTCCTCAGAAGCAGAGATCCTAATTCATCTGGGTCTGGCACAGTATGTAGCAACTAAAAGGCACCTAAACTTGACACTATATATATATAGAAAAAAATCAAATACGTTAGATCCACATCCATCTAGGTTTTCCTTCAGTTTCCGCATCTCAGTTCAATGGCTGCCCTCTTTTGTCCTTACTAAAGCATAACATTTAATCTGTTACCATATCCTGATGATTTGTCTTTTGTCATGCTCCTTAGACAGGCCCTAATTATCTCCCAAGTAAGTTGCTGAAATGTGGATCTGTTTGGCTTTCCTCCCTCTAGACTGTCCCTCATACTGCACTCCCAATTAATCTCCCTATAGTTTGCCTGTCAGAATAAGTTTAAACTTGCTATTTTGACGTTCAAGAATTAGAGCATCTCTACTATATTTAAGCAACCTTTTCTCTCAGTTTCTCTCCAGAGCATCATGTCAGGCTCCTTGTTAGACACACACACACAGACACACACACACAGACACACACACACACAGCTTTTTTTCTACCTACACAGCTTTGTTTATTCACCTAGAATGTCCTGTCTGTCAAAATCCTATCATTTTTCTACCTCATCTTTCCAACAAGTTTGAAATATACTCATTTTTCCTTCTTTACTTAGCACATAATCCATGTAATGCACATTTGACATTTTCTTATATTCTATTTTATGTTCAAATTGACAGATTTTAAAGTGCTATCTCAACGTGTTATATACAGTGCTATCAGCACAGTAGGGAATAAAAACGTGTCGGAGATAGCTCCTACCCTTAAGAACCTTGTGGTCTAGTGCCTGTACTTTGAAACATTCAGTGTTTATATAATTATAAAAGTAATACATGCTTGATGAAGCAAACCTAAAAATTACAGAATAGCACAGAGGATAAAAGCAAATTAAAATCACTTTAAGAAACATTTATTGAGAACCTAAGACATACTCCCTATATTCAAAGAACTTATAGTGTATGGATACACCAACCAATAAACAGCCAATTAAAATGCAATACTTAAGTCCTTAATTGAGGCAAATGTTGATTTGGAGAACAGAGAGAAGATGATATTTTGAGCTAAGTTACTGAGGTTGGAGTTTAGCAAACTCACAAGAGTATTCCAGGTAAGGGGAACATGCAGCCAAAGGCACTGGCTCATTCAGGGACACTCTAAATTGTGGCTGCAGTGGAAGATTCAACATCTCTTTTCCTCCCAAGATGAATGAAAGAACTCCTTGAGGACAGAGACTTTGCTTTCTATCTCTTTTGTATTTCCCATAGCACCTGATACTTAAAACCAAGCCATTCTTTCATTTACTGCCCATTGTCAGCATCAGCAGCGTAAGACCCTGAGGGCAAGGCCCATATTTTTGAGAGCTTTGTATCCTACGTGGTAAATAAATCATATATTGATTGAATTTGTTTATGTAAATTCAATATGATTAAAATGGGAGGAAGACCTGAATATTTCTAGTTTTTGTCTGTATTTCTTTTTAACCGTCACAGAATTTATCTTTTATCCAGTCTTTCTTTATAAAATTTGTCCCTCTTAGGACTTCTTCTGTAGTATATTTGTTATCCCTAAAATACATATTAATTTAGTCTGATTTTGCACAAGTCATGCTGTGCTTTATGCTGAGAGTACATACATGTTTGATAATGCTTTTTAAGGCAATGGAAACAAAGTTTAAAGCTTAATGACAGCAGAGAATATCATTGCTCCAGCTCAGTTTTCCCATTGCAGGGTGAAGCAGCTGACGGATGAAGAGGAGTGTTGTATCTGTATGGATGGTCGAGTTGACCTCATCCTGCCTTGTGCTCACAGCTTTTGTCAGAAGTGTATTGATAAATGGTAAGTTATCTGCTGCCTTCATGCAATAGGCAAAGGTCAAATGGGAGAGTGTGTATGAATAAACTTCAAAAAATACAAGAATATTGTAGTTATGTATAAGAGAGTTTGTTCTTTAGTACCTTGAATTTTATGACATGCCTCCTACTGATTAAAAATATTTTTATTTTTATACCTAAAGTTTGTAAAATGTGGGGATGTATCTTAGTTTTGACAGTTTACTTTTGTTATAAGGAGATTTGTACCTGACTTGAGTCTGGAATCAAGCACTTCTTTTTTTCTTCCATTTTTCTCTTCATTTCTACATTTTTTCTCTCTATATGATTAGAAGGAATAATATGAATCCTTGGATATTGAATATTGGACCTGGAGGGAACTTTAGAGATCAGTTAGTCAAGCTTATTATTTTACAAAATAAGAATCAAGCATTTAGGACAATCTATAATTGACATACATAAACTACATATATTTAAAGTACAATTTGAAATGTTTTCACATATGTACACACCCATAAAAACTGGCATCACAATCCAGATAATAAATCCATCACCCCCAAAAGTTACCTTGTGCCCCATTGTAAAGTCTCCTTCCCCCACTTCCTTCCAGTCCCCAGACAACCACTAATCTGCTTTCAGTCACTATAAAATAATTTGGATTTTCTAGGATTTTTATAAATGGAATTATACAGCATGTACTCTTTTTTGGTCTGGCTTCTTTCATTCAATATAATTATTTCGACATTTATCCATGTTGTAGCATGTATCAGTAGTTCCTTACTTTTTATTGCCAAGTAGTAGTCATTGTGTGAATGTACCACAGCTTATTTATCCATTCACCTGTTGATAGACATTGAGTTTTTTCCTATTTTTGGCTATTACAAATAAAGCTGCTGTATACATTTGTGGACAAGTCTTTTTATGGATGTATATTTTGTTTTTTCTTTGGGTAAATTCCTAGAAGTGGAATGACTATATCATATGGTAGATAATGTTTAACTTTTTAAGAAACTGCCAACTGTTTTCCAAAGTGGTTGTGCCTTTACACTCCCACCAGCAGGGGATGAGAGATCCAGTTGCTCCATATCCTTGCCAATACTTGGTATGGTCGGTCCTTTTATTTTTATCCATTCTAATAGATGTGTGGTGGTATCTCATTGTGGTTTTAATTTGCATTTCCCTACTGACTGATGATGTTGAGCATATTTTCATATGCTAATTTACCATCTGTATGTCTTCTTTGGTGAAGTATCCATTCAAATCTTTTGCCCATTTCTTTTCTGGATTGTTTTCATATCAAGTTTGGAAGTTCTATGTATATTATGGATACATCCTTTATCAGATATATTATTTGCAAATATTTTCTCTCACTTTGTGATTCGTCTTTTCATTCTCTTAAGACTGTCTTTCAAAGTGTAGAGTTTTTAATTTGGGTGAAGTCCAATTTATCAGTTTGTGGTTTATGGATAGTGATTTTAGTGTCATATCTAAGAAATCTTTGTCTAACCCAAAGTCACAAAGATTTTCTTCCAAAAGTTTTATAGTTTTTAGTTTTTAGGTTTTACATTTAAGTCTTTATTTGTGTATATGATGTGAGGTATAGATCAAAATTCTTTTTTTTTTGGCATATGGCTGTCCAGTTGCTCCAGCATAATTTGTTAAAAAGACTCTTTTTTTCACTAAATTGCCTCTGCACCTTTGTTGAAAAGCAGTTGTTCAAATACTTGTGGGTCTATTTCTGGATTCTGTTCTGTTCCATTAGTCCATTTGTCTATTTCACACCAATAACACAGTACCTTGATTAATATAGCTTTGTAAGTCTTAAAACCAGGGAGCGTTAGTCCTCCAACTTTGTTCTTCTTTTTCAAAGTTGTTTTGGCTGTTCTAGGTCTTCTGTATTTCAGTATGAGTTTTAGAATCAACTTCTCAATTTCAACAAAAAAACTGTGAGGATTTTGATTGGAATTGTGTCAGATAAATAGATTAATTTGGAAAGTGTTAACTTCTAAACAATACTGAGTCTGCCAATCTACAAACACAGTATATTTCTCTGTTTATTTAGGTCTTCTTTCATTTCTCTCATCAATTTTTGTAGTTTTCAGTGTTACATATCTTTGACAGATTTATCCCTAACAAGTATTTTATATTTTATGCTATTTTAAATGTCATTTTTTATTTCAATTTCTGATTGTTTGTTGCTGGTATATAGAAATACAATAGATTTTTGTGTATTAATCTGGTATCATGAAACCTTACTAAACTCATTTATTAGTTCTGATAGCTTTTTTGTAGATTCCATAGGATTTTCTTGAATGTCTGACCATCATTTTTGAAAGATATTTTTTCTGGACGTAGAATTCTAGCCTGACAGTATTTTTCTCTTAGTTACTTTAATGGTGTTGCTCCACCCTCTTCTTGCTTGCATTGTTTCCTGTGAGAAATCTGCTGTCATCCTTACCTTTTTTCCCTCGTGGGTAATGTGCCTCTTTTCTTTGGCTGCTTTTAAGATTTTTTTCTTTATCACTGGTTTTGAGCAATTTGATTATGATGTGCCTTAGAGTAGTTTTCTTCTTGTTCCTTGTGCTTGGGATTCATCAATCTCTTTGGATTTGTAGGTTTGTAGTATCACCAGTTTTGGAAATTTTTCAGCAATTATTTTCTCAAATATTTTTTTCTGTTCTCTTTCCCTCTCCTTCTGGGACTCCAGTTACACAAATGTTAGACCACTTGAAGTTGTCCCACGGCTCACTGGTGCTATTTTCCTTTTTTGTTTTCTTTTTTGAGTAATTTTCTGTGTGTTTCATTTCGGATAGTTAATATTGCTATGTCTTTTCAAATTCACTAATCTTTTTTCCTGCAATGTCTAACTTGCCGTTAATTCTACCTAGTGTATTTTTTACTTCAGATGTTGTAGTTTTCATCTCTAGAAGTTTGATTTGAGTTTTTTAATATCTTCCATGTCTCTGCTTAATATGTTTGGTCTTTCCTCTAGTTTTTTTAATATATAGAATATGGTTATCATAACCTTTAATTTTCTTTAATTTTAACATCTATGTCAGTTCTGGATTGTTGTTTTTTTAATAGTATATTTTTGTCTTTTTTTTGAAGTATAATTCACATACGATATTATATTAGTTTCAGGCATACAACATAGTGATTCAGTAATTTTATACATTACAAAATGATCACCACCATATGTCTAGTTACCATCTGTCACCATACAAAGTTATTACAATATTATTGACTCTATTCCCTATACTGTGCATTACATCCTCGTGACTTATTTATTTTACGACTGGAAGTTTGTACTTAATCTCCCTCACCTATTTCGCTCCTCCCCTGACCCCCCTTCCCTCTGATGAGCACCAGTTTGATCTCTGTATCCGTAAGTCTGTTTCTGTTTCATTTTGTTTTTTAGATTCCTCATACAAGTCAAATCATACAGTATATGTCTTTCTCTGTCTGACTTATTTCGCTTAGCATAATACCCTCTAGATCCATCCATGTTGTTGCAAATGGCAAGATTTCATTCTTTTTTATGGCTAATATTCTATTGTGTATATTTACCACATCTTCTTTATCCATTATTCTATCAGTGGACTCTTAGGTTGCTTCCATATCTTGGCTATTATAAATAATGCTGCAGTGAACATAGGAGTGCATATCTTTTTGCATTAGTGTTTTTGTTTTCTTTGGATATAAACCCAGAAGTGGAATTGCTGGATTGTATGGTAGTTCTATTTTTAATTTTCTGAGGAATCTCCATACTGTTTTCCATAGTGGCTGCACCAATTTACATTCCCACCAACATTGCACGAGGGTTCCCTTTTCTCCATATCCTTGCCAACACTTGTTATTTGTTGTCTTTTTGATAATAGCCATTCTGACAGATGTGAGGTGATATCTCATTGTGGTTTTGATTTGCATTTCTCTGATGATTAGTGATGTTGAGCGTCTTTTCATCTGCCTGTTGGCCCTCTGTATGTCTTCTTTGGAAAAATGTCTATTCAGGTCCTCTGCCCATTTTTTAATTGGATTGTTTGTTTTTTTGCTATTGAATTGTATTAGTTCTTTATATCTTTTGGATATTAACCACTTATTGGATATATCATTTGCATAAATATCTTCTCCCATTCAGTAGGTTGCCTTTTCTTTTTCTTTTTTTTTTTGTGAGAAAGATTAGCCCTGAGCTAACATCCGTTGCCAATCCTCCTCTTTTTCTGAGGAAGATTGGCCCTGGGCTAACATCCATGCCCATCTTCCTCTACTTTATATGGGACACCGCCACAGCATGGCTTGACAACGCAGCGTGTGGGTCCGCGCCTGGGATCCAAACCTGTGAACCCCGGGCCGCCGAAGCAGAGCATGCGAACTTAACCACTACACCATTGGGCAGGTCCTGCCTTTTCACTTTGTTGATGGTTTCCTTTACTGTGCAAAAGCTTTTTGGTTTGATGTAGTCCCATTTATTTATTTTTGCTTTTGTTGCCCTTGCCTGAGGAGACATATCCAAAAAAATATTGCTAAGACCAATGTCTGAGAGTTTACTGTCTGTTTTCTTCTCAGAGTTTTATGATTTCAGGTCTTACATTTAAGTCTTTAATCCATTATGAGTTTATTTTTGTATATGATGTAGGATAGTGGTCCAGTTTCATTCTTTTGCATGTAGCTGTCCAGTTTTCCCAGCACCATTTATGAAGAGACTCTTTCCCCCCTGTATATTTCTGCCTCCTTTATCGTAAATTAATTGACCACATACACCTGGGTTTATTTCTGGGCTCTCAGTTCTATTCCATTGATCTGTGTGTCTGTTTTTGTGCCAGTACCATACAGTTTTGATTACTAGAGCTTTGTAATATAGTTTGAAATCAGGAAGTGGGTTGCCTCTAGCTTTGTTCTTCTTTCTTAAGGTTGCTTTGGCTATTCAGGGTCTTTTGTGGTTCCATACAGATTTTAGGATGATTTTTTCTGGTTTTGTAAAAAATACCATGGGTATTTTGATAGGGA